TCCAGAAGAGACAATGCAAACACAAAAGGTCTATGAGTCCAAAATTTGAGCTACCTCAACACATGAGCAATACAACGCACCCAATAGACTGATTAAAACCACGTTTGTGAGTTACGGGGACTTGGCATCAAAGCGTAAGAGTATGAAATCTATAGAAATTAGCAAAACAGCCAACGTCCTGAATAGAAGGAATGAGTGAGCAAATTGAGTAGGAACTATTTTTGACTGTTGGATAGGCTTAAGGAGAGAGAATGAGCCACTAGACAAGATTAGGTTGTTGGATTAGCCTCGAGTCACGCACCTTCCATGGCATTCGCATCACATACACACAACAGACAATAGCACAAGCCAAAATATGGATCATTATTAGAGTGTCGTAAATTAGATTATTTGTGTGAGGAAACTGCTGACACCGAATGCATTTCCGGTCCGTGAATTAATTTCACCCAAAAGCAAGCATAAAAACTTTATTCGAAAAAAAGGAGAAATACTTTTGAGATGCAAGGCTACATGAAATGCAATCTTGATGAATATCTAGTGATAACAATTTTTTGATTACATCTACATAACCCTACTTATAAAAGGAAAATATTAATTTTTTTATTTTGTGAAATAAATTTGCGTAAATAAATTTCAAGTAGCCAATCAAATCATGGGATGTCCAATTAAGATCGCAAAGTTAAGTGTAGGTTGTAGCAGGTCATCTTTTCTCTTGGTTTAGTACATAATTTTTGCGCTATTTCGTAAAGTTTGGACTTTTGTTCTGATGATGTCTGTCATAGTACAGAAGAAAGCATATCACAGCATCATCGGGGTCGCAGGACGGTGAACCGATGACTTTTTGGCACAATACAAAAGTCTTCTCTTTTTCACTTTCCAATGAGACCATTTCACGAACAATTCAGAACAATTTAACCTTCAAAAAGGAAATTTATTTAACAAAATAAAAAATTAATATTTTCCTTTTATAAGTAAGGTTATGTAGATATCATCGAAAAATTGTTATCATCAAGATCAAGGATACATTATTGCATTTCATGTAGCCTTGCATCCCAAAAGTATTTCTCCTCTATTCAAAGAAAGGTTACATTTTTCTCACAAACGATACATCGAAACAAATTCGTTCGAAGATATGAAGACCAGGATAGTGTGGCCTTTTGTATGGTCGCGGTTTTCATATCTTGGACTAAATTATGGAAGTAATATTGTCAAACAATGCACCGATTACAGCAGACAAAGAAGACAATTGTCAGACAATCCTGCCATTTGACCTTTTTGAATCGTTGCAACCATTATGGTATCGCTCCCGGGTTCGGCAACCTAATGAGGAAGCGTCATTCGGGTACAGCCAATTAAAAACCTTATCACGCCTCTATCCAGAAATTAGAGGAAAGTTACGGGACAGGGATTAAGGGAGGATCTAGACAAGGTTCTCATTCTAGATGATTTATAGAAACTCCAGGTTATCACTGACCAAAAGTCACAGAGGGTCCATGATTTGGTAAATAAGCGGCATGACAAGAAATTGCTTAGACATGGAATAATAAGACAGCGCAGGATTAAACTAACTCAGGCCAATTCAGGTGGTTCTGCTTTGAAGACATCAACTGCTACAACCAAAGTAGTAAAATTGTCCTCAATCCGTCTTGGTGCTGAAACGGTGGATCTCTTGAAGAAAGAGTCAAATTTTTCAATCGGTAACGAAGGCAACATTTAAGAAGATATCCTTGTAGAAGTTATCAACATCTCAGTGAAATTTCCGGAAGAGACCAAAGGGGAAGTAAAAATGAAATTAATCCCGAGAATTCTGTCCCATCGAGAGCCAATGAAAAGGGGCGGATTAACGAAGATAGGTAGAAAATTACAAATAAATGACCAAATAGTTCTTAAAGCTGTGATAGTGGACAGGCAACAGTACACGAAGAAGGTATGAAGACCAAGATGGTGTGGCCTTTTGTGTGGTGCAGTCTCCTTTCGTTGTATAAAAGTTGTTTGACCTTGTTGGTAGGAAGACTTAGAGGAACGCACCTTGTCCGGAGTCGATTGTATGCATCATCATTTCCAGAGTAGGACCGCGGAAGTGGTACATTCTTAGACGTTTCGCCGGCATCGTAGTCGGCATGGTCAGTGAGTCTCGCCATTCGTAGCAACATATTAGAACAACAGTACACAAAGAAATTGGAAAGCATCCGGGGTGACCGGAACACCTTTACATAGTAAGAAAGGGTCCAACAATGAAGATCAACGGGACACTGAAGAATATGCATAATAATGGGGAAATTGACAGATGGATGATGAAATCTTTAATCAAAAGTGACACAATACCAAAGATAAACAAGGAAGGAAATCTTCTATAATCAACGGTCAACAACAACCATGGAACAACACACACGCTAGCGAAATTCATTTGATTGAAGCTCAAGAAAGTCAATGAAACACACTCTTGAATACCGCTAAGAATTCATATGAATTTTTGCAAAGGATTCAAAATATTGACGTACAATCCATGCACACAAACGTCTCAGACGAGAAGGCAGTCACCGCACTGTTGAAGATATTGGAGCAAGAGGAGGATATCCTGAAAGCAGAGCGGATATGGAAGGAGTCGCTAACACAAATAATCAATCTTACAGTAAGTATCATATATTTTACATTCAACGGCAACATCTATGAGCAAATATTCGGAATACCGATGGTATCTACACTCTTTCTTCCTTTGGAAAATGTGAGAAGGAATTCGAGAAATCACCGCCGCAACCAAAAGTGGCTATGCGGTACCTGGACAACTAATTTGCACATTAGTTGCATGGTAAGGAAGATTAGGATAACTTCATCAATTTTATAAACCAACTTGAAAGAATTAAAGTCACAATGGAGATGGAGGAGGATAAACGACTACCTTTCCTGGTTGTTGAGGTCATTCGCTCCAACGGAATACTCAAGAGGAGAGTATTCAGAAAGAGATCACATGCGGGAATAACTCTCAATTTACAGTCTCATCACAAACACAGACTGACGATCGGAATAATGAGGAGTATGATCATCAGAAACTTAAGACTAACGGACACTGAGTTCTGGCACGAGGAGTTGGAGAAACTGACTCGGATTTGCCTTAGTAACGGGTACCGCAGATAATATATAATATGAAATATGGGGGTCATAAAAAGCAGATTTCAACTAGGATTTTATTAAGATATGATCAGAAATCGGGAGGACGACAAAAAGTGGATATGCCTGCCCTCCTGTGATCTGAACAAGAATTAGCGACTGTTGCTAAGGTAATGGAATATCAAAGTGATAACAAAAGAAAAGACAACACTCTTAAAAAGCCTACCGGCGCAACACAAGAAGGTTAACAAACTGGATTGCTCGAAAGTCTAGCATCAAATGCGGCAA